AAAATTCACTATATAAGATTTTCTCATACAAAATTATTCTCTTTTCTTGTTAATCTTCCTTACCAAAAACACATCTTCATATCCATAACTTTCTTCACATTTCTTTCCTCTACTTACTGGTTACTTTCTACCTTGTTTCATGTTTCCTTCCTAAATCCATATTTTGAAACAACTTTTAAATAACCTTTGAATTTGGCAAGTTATTCTTTTTCTCAATAAGGAGCACCATTTTTTTGCCTTTCTTATAATTTTTTCTTATTAAAGCTCATCTTATTTTTGGCAGTTTTTATACATATAATTATACTAATTAAAATTTTGAGTTCCTAGTAATCTTAAACTTTATTGAAAACCTAGGAAACAAGAAATTTTAAATTTTCTGTCACATAACAGTATTTAACATATAAGAACAACTTTATCATTTTTAGAAACATGTTTTCTTATAATGTAAATTTTAAAATTGAAAATGACTCAGGCATGTAATGCGTATCTATTATTTAATTTAACATAATTTTTAGATTTCAAATTACACAAAGTTTATAGATGTTTATCTCATTTACATTTGCCTAATTTATTTTTAACAATTGTGAAAACTGACGTATTAGACAACCTTAGTCATTGTTTCAAGTTATTTCCTTGTTAATCATTTTTATAGCCTGTGAATATATGGTTTCACCTAAATAAGAAACTTAAATGTATGGGGATTTTGTTGATAACTCAGAAGATACAGTTGTTTTCATTAAACCAACAATATTAAATTAGTCTTACTTATAAAACATGACACAAAAATCATTCTGTTTTTGGCTGGGTTTATAGTCTTCTAAACTTTATGTTAAACTCTGACATCTTAAAATATTTATTAGAGACAAATGTAAAACTGTCTGACGAGTAAATCCAGGCAAAAACATATGCTGACAATTTTGAAGATATTTTAATTTTTACTTTAGTTACTTTAAAACCATATTAGTTATTAAAGATTTACTTAGGTCATGTGAACTTGGAAAATAGACTTGATAATTTATGAGTGCTCATTTATTGAAAAGTCAATTTGATATCATGTAGACACAACATATAACCTAATAATACATGTACATATACATAAACACATCCAAACAAACACACAAATAAAGATCTTATCCCTTTCATTTTAGAATTTTAGTCATGAACTAGTAATACTCATTGGTTTATAAAGAATGGTAGGATCCAAATTATATTTCTGACAAAACTGAGACCTATTTACATGGCTAAACTTTTTTTGCCCGATAGATAATCTAATTAAGTTTGTGGGTCAAAATTTTGGATAAAGAGGTTTCCCTGGCAGTTTGATTTTTTAAACTTCTTTTATTCTTTCCTTCAGTTTCAAATGAGTTTAGGGTTAACTTTTCAATATTTATATTTCAGCTAGAACTGGCTGAATTGTATAAGAAAAAGTCTACAGGCAGCCTTGAATTAGTAATACCATAAGAAGCGAATTTTTTCTCAACACCAGTAGAAAAGTCAACATATTCAAAGTAGGCAGAAAAAAAAAAAAGAGAACTCAGAGGAGTCTACCTGGGGGACCATCAGTGAGTGTCGCCCTGTCTTCCCCCCGAGCATCTGCACAGATTCTGGCCTCAAACTTGGGTGTGTCAGACCCAAGCCATGGTTGTCCCCTCTTCAGAGAACTCCGTCCACCTCTGGGGATCTCTGTGGCTTGTCCCTTGGCCTGTAGGAGGTCACAGGCCCCAGGAACTTCCCTCAGAACTCCTTTCCTAGCTTCTAGCCCCATTTCCCTGGAGTCTCCACCCTCGTTGGGGGCTGGAGCTGGAGGGCACGTTGACATCTGGGGGCTGCTGTGACAGAGCCCCACACTGGCCACGTGACATGGCAGAAGCTCACGTCTCACGGTTCTGGAGGACTGAAGTCCGAGGCGAAGGCATTAGTGGGGCTGGTTCCTTCTGCGGTGGTGAAGGAGAGTCTGTCCCAGTCTAGGGGATGACTCTGTCCTGTTTTCTGGGCCTGTTGCCTTCTTTGGCGTCCTTGGCTTGCAGGGGCACTGCCCAATCTCTGCCTCCATCATCACATGGCGTTCTCCCTGTGCCCATTTGTGTGCAATTTTTGCCTTTTTATGAAAACAGAAGTGGTGTTGGCTCAGGGTCCCCCCCAATGACTTCACTTCAACTTGACTACATCTGCAAAGATCCTGTTTCCACGTAAGGTCATGTTTACAGTATGAGGGATTAGCATTAGCGTCCAACATATACCCATATACCTTTTCTTTCTTTCTTTCTTTCTTTCTTTCTTTTTTTTTTTGGAGAGGGTCTTGCTTGGTCACCCAGGCTGGAGTGCAGTGGTGCAATCACAGCTCACTGCAGCCTTGACCTCCCAGGCTCAAGCCGTCTTCTGGGACTATAAGTGCACACCACCATGTTCAGCTAAGTTTTAATTTTTTTTTTTTTTTTTTTTTTTTTTTTTTTTTTTTTTTTTTTTTGTAGAGATGGGGTCTCACAGTATTGCCTGGGCTGCTCTCGAACTCCCAGGCTCAAGTGATCCTCCCTCCTCGGCCTCCCACAGTGCTGGGATGACAGGTACATGCCACTGTGTCTAGACCAACATGTCCTTTTTTAAGGGGACAAGGGGACACTATTCAGCCCAGGAAAGGGGTCGGCGCAAAGCCATGAGAGCAGCACGGGCTCCTCTGTGTGTCCGTGGGCTGTGGCGTCTTTCATCGTGGTTCCTTAGGAAGGAAGAGTTCACTGAGAATCCGTGTGGCTGGGTCTCTTCAGGACACAGCCCGAGCCCGCTGCACACACAGCAAGGCCCGGCGCTGGGCCTGAGGGTGTCCAGCTCCCATCCAGGCATTGAGGCTGTTGCAGAAGGAGGGAGGCCTGTGTGGAGGATGCCTGGGCTAATTCCAGGAATGGGAAGCCTGGCCCCAAAAACCAAGGGCTGCCCTGATAGAGCCAGCTTTGTCCCTGGCGTATGAGTGTGGGTCACACAGGAGAAAGGGTGTGGGTGTGTCCTGGGTGTGAGTGGGATTTGCCTGAAGGGGGTGCTGTCCTTAGTAGAAGGGGGCTGTTGGCACATGTGGGTGCCAGGGGAGACTTTTGGGAACCAAGAAATCAGCTAAGAGGAGCACTGGCCAGTGTACCCCTCCCGCTGAGAGGCCCATATCTAGAAACTTCCGTTACCAGGATGCCCTGTGTTGACAAGCATGTGAGGTCCAAAAGGACTCCTTAGAGGTCCCCCCTCCACAGACCGCTGCTTGTCCTTCCTCCCAGGCCAGCAGCCTCGCACGGGGACTGTGCTCTCACCCTTACAACTGGGCGAGGGCGCCTGCAGGCTGGAGGGTCCCCGATCACACCCTGACGAGCATGCACTGGCCATGTCCTCGCCTTACAGACACCCTCCCCCCGTCCCCAGGGGTTGTCCGGCTCTGTCCAGCATGGCCATGTCCTCGCCTTACAGACAACCTCCCCCTGTCCCCAGGGGCTGTCCGGCTCTGTCCAGCATGGCCATGTCCTCGCCTTACAGACACCTTCCCCCTGTCCCCGGGGGCTGTCCGGCTCTGTCCAGCAGCGGTGGAGGGGCTTTGTGGTTTCCTGTGGTTTCACGGGATGCCTTTGAAGGCAGCAACCGCCCCTGACTCAGTGGGTCCTGCATCTCGCTCACAGCCGGGAGGGGCACTCAGAGCTGTCGCTGCGCTGTGAATACCTTCACGCAGGTTCACCAGGGAGGGGGCCCGGCCACTGCCGTCCTAGTCTCTCCTCTGCGTCTGACACGGCAGCTTGACCATGTGGGCTCAGACAGCTGCACGGACACACGGCCACCAGCAGACCTGCGTGTCAGCTGCCACACAGAGCACAGGGGCCCAGGTGTCACAAGCTGTGCCCCACTGGGGCTGTCCCCAGCTTTCCCCTCAGGAGCCATCAGGAGGCTCAGAGGCTCTCGTGCCCTGGAGGCCGCGGCCCTGGGTGCGTCTGCCCACTGGCTGCACAGCGGCTCTGCCTCAGCAATGTTGGTGCCCCCTGCGCTGACTCCCCTTACCTTAGACTCCCCTGTACCTTTGGTTAATGGTGAGGTGGAAACGTCTCCCCGTCTTTTTTAACTCTTTGTGCTCTGAAGGGTCTATGAAGGCCTTTGTCCACTTACTTATGGGGATGACCATATTTTTCTTAATATTTGAATAAGCAAGTAATGGACATGGGTGGAATAAACTCTGGTAAACTGAGAGATTTGTGAGTCATTGCAGGTTTAAATTCAGCTACTTTCTGGTTAAAGTTTCCCTTAGGGTTTTTGTTCTATCACCTCTTCCCTGGGCCCTCCCAGCCTCCTGAGGAGGTGCTGACCTGGCTGGTCTCACTGGCGCCCTCGTCACTCTCCAGTGCTAGTGGTCCACTGAGACTACAGCCTTATCCTCTCCCACTGTCCTGAGGGTTCATCGATAAGGTGTCTTTTTGCTCTGTGTCTCCTCACCCAGGCCTTAAACCCTGAGTAGGATGAGTGATGTCCAAGTGACCCCAGAACCCCTCTTGGGGCCCATGGAATTGCTAGTGCTTCAGAGCACACAGGGTGACCCTCAGGCTCTCGGGGCAGCCCTCTGTGTGGGCACCTTCTCCACGGCCCACACACCAGGAGGCCAGCATGGTGCCTGGGGCTCTCAGGTCCCAGCTGAACGGGGTTTCTTCTTCTGCCCGACTCAGCTTTAGCTTGGACTGGCAGGGGACAGGCGTGGGCAGGTGGCCCAAAGCTCACCAGAGGCCGAGCCCGCTCAGCTCTGCTCCCCTCCCTGGCTCAGTTGGAGGCTTGTCCCCTGTGGGCAGGGCATGGCTTAGGCTGCAGGAAGGGTGTGGAGATGATCACATCTGCTTTCAAATCCTGCTGTCTCTCTTGGGTGTTTGATCTCGGAATGAGAGACATTGTCCTGTCTGCCTTCAACAGGACAGTGGTCCCACACCCCAAATTTGGAGTAGGCAAAGGGGCTCAGGGGAAGAGCAGAAAGTGCACACCAGCCCGTATTTCCTGACTCAAGAATTTTTTGATTAGAGCAATTCTTTGTCTCATTGGGTGCAAACAACACATTTGGAGAAGTGGGTTCCAGAAGGCCACAGTCCACCTGCTGAGGGATTTGTGGGTTGTCTTTTCCCAGAGAGGGAGGAGGGAAGTGTGATGTGCTCAAAATCCCCTTCAGGCAGCAACTATGTGGTTACTGATGGAGGTGGTGGATTCTGAGGACTCCAGGGGATCCTGAGACTGGAGAATCCTGCTTGGCAGCAAAGACATAGTCAGTAGACGAGCGAGGACTGAGCACTCAGCAGCTGGACTTCTCGCCTGAGAAGAGGGCTCAGCAGGCCGGGCGGGAGCACACAGGGCGGCAGAGGAGGGACACGCAGGAGGCTGGGCGGCAGCAGCTGGGCTGGCAGGAGGAGACGGGCACGCAGCAGGCGGACCTGCACACGGGACGGCAGATGAGGGACACGGAGGAGGAGGGTCTGCAGCAGGAGGTGGTGCAGCAAGTTGGTTGGCAGCTAGACTGCTGGCAGCATGAAGTGGAAGCCCCAGAGCACACAGGCACACAGCAGACAGACTTGCAGCAGAGAGGCACACAGCAGGCCTGCTGGCATGGGGAGGAGGTGCAGCAAGCCGGCTGGCAGCTAGACTGCTGGCAGCATGAAGAGGAATCGGCTGGCAGCTGTGGGGACTGCTGGCAGCATGAAGAGGAATCTTTAGAGCAGGTGGGCACACAGCAGACGGACTTGCAGCAGATGGGCACACAGCAGGCCGGGTTGGCAGGAAGAAGAGGCATTACAAGCTGGCTGGCAGCTAGATTGCTGGCAGCATGACGAAGCAGCCCCATAGCAGATGGGCACACAGCAGATGGGCTTGCAGCAGACAGGCTTACAGCAGACAGGCTTGCAGCAGATGGGCACACAGCAGGACTGCTGGCAGGGGGAGGAGGTGTGGCGCCGGGGTTGGCAGCTAGACTGCTGGCAGCACGAGGGTGTGCAGGAGCTGGTGCAGCCTGGATTGGCAGGGCTGGGCTCACAGGCTGCCTGGCAGCAGGGGCTGGACACACAGCTCACTGGGGTGCAGACCAGGGTCAGGCAGGAGGCTGCAGGTGGTGCAGCTGGGGCGCAGTGCAGGGGCTCGTGCAGCTTCGGGCAGTCAGCCCACCTGCCAGGAGTCGGAGTAAGTGCTGGAGCAGACGGACATGGTGACGCCATGCTGGGGTGGGAGGAGATGAGCTGGGGAGGTGTGAGGGAGGAGGAGCGAGTGAGTGAGTGCTCAGGCTGTGGGGCTTTTAAATCCCTCTCCCCTGCGTGTGTGTGTGTTGTCCCGACAGAGGCTCCATGCTTCTCTTCCTTGTTGGTGTTTAGAGCTGGTGGCTGGAGATGCGTCATTAGTGCTGGTTTATCTCTTCTTTGTTTTTCCCCATTAAACTTGTGTGTATGTTGCAGGGCTCTGTTTTTCCATCGGTTTTATTTTGGCCCCAGAAATGTGGTGAAAATATTTCAAGAAAGCTTTCTGTTCAGTTGAGGTTTCAGAGATGAATGTTTCTCCAAAAGGAGCAATTCTGGTTCCACCTATCCTGTTTCTGGACTGATTAGATATATTTTATTACTTTTAGCATATTAAAACATAAACATGGAGAAAAATGTGCACTTCGTATGAAATAAAAATGGCACTGAGGATAAGATGAGTTTCGGCCAAGCATGGTGACTCATGCCTGTAATCCCAGCACTTTGGTAAGCTGAGGTGGGTGGATCGCGAGGTAGGAGTTTGAGACCAGCCTGGCCAGCATGGTGAAACCCTGTCTCTACTGAAAATACAAAAAATTAGCCAAGCATGGTGGGATGTGCCTGTAGTCCCAGTTACTCAGGAGGCTGAGGCAGGAGAATTACTTGAACCCAGCAGGCGGAGGTTGCAGTGTTGAGATCGCACCATTGCACTCCAGCTTCGGGTGACAGAGCGAGACTCTTTCAAAAAAAAAAAAAAAAAAAAAAAAAAAAGAAGCTCTTCCTTGCCATCTCAGAGTCCTCTCTTTGTTTTAGGACGAAGCTGCACTCTGTATTCTTTCGATTTTCATTTTGCCTTGGTGAAAGATCAAGTACTTTTTCATATATGGTGATTTTAGACACACATTTCCATGATTCTCGTTTGTCTGAAAATATGTCAACTTTATCCTCACATTTATAATGATAGTTTAGCTGGGTATAAAATTCTGGTTTTAAATTACTCTTCCTCAAAATGGTGAACAAATGTCACCATGTCTTTGTGATGTCCAGTGCTGCTGATGACAGTCTGATGCTGGTCATCTGTCATTTTTTCATTTGTCTCTCTCTTTCCTTAACTCTCTGGGAGCTTTTGGGTTTCTTTTTATTATTCTAAAATGTCACGTTTTTGTTTCTAGGCTTAAGCATTATTTTACTTTCTGTGATTAGACCTTATTGAGTCAACATAAAGACTCATCTCAGAAGTGTTTTTCCATTTTAATAATAATAATTTCATCTTTCCTGGTCTCTCTTTTATGACTTTTATTTCATCTAGTGATGAAAGAAATATGTTACCCATTCACTCTGATGATGTTATTTTTATTTTTAAATGTTTTTCCTTGTTTCATTGGACATCAGATAAAGTTACTCTATTGGTGGTAGTTCATTCAGCTTTCTGAATAAAAGACTATTTTATTCCGGTGCATTATGTCCTGCCTCCAATTTACCCCTAACCTGTTTCTGTCTGTTTGTCTTTTTCTACAAATATAAGAAAGACTCTACTGAGCCTCTCTTTATTGTTAAATAATTTTGTTTTTCTTTTTTTTTAATAACTTAAATATCCTTTCAGTGATTATTAGTAATGGACGTGTGAGAACTGTGTGCTTAATTCACTTTCTGGGACTGAAGGACTTGGTGCTGCTTTCAGAGATGATAGGAAAGCCAGAAGTCTAGGTGACATCGTATTAGTGGGTGCACTACAGACACACACAGTGCACGTGTGGTCTTTTTATGTCAGCCACAACATGAGGTGCAAGTTTGGAGCCCTGCACTCATTGGAGACATGACTTTTTGGATTATAGAACTTTCCACTGGGGGCCAGCAGGGCAGCTTCTGTGGACAGTCAAATGATCAAACCATTTTTTTTTTTTTTTTTTTTTTTGAGACAGAGTCTTGCTCTGTCACTCCTAGCTGGGGCACAGTGGCGCTATCTCAGCTCACTGCCAGCTCTGCCTCCTGGGTTCAAGCCATTCTCCTGCCTCAGCCTCCCAAGTAGCTGGGACTACAGGCGCCCGCCACCACGCCTGGCTAGTTTTTTGTATTTTTTAGTAGAGACAGGGTTTCACCGTGTTAGCCAGGATGGTCTCGATCTCCTGACTCCAGTGATCCGCCCATCTCGGCCTCCCAAAGTGCTGGGATTACAGGCTTGAGCCACCGCGCCTGGCTTTTTGCATTTTTAGTAGAGACGGGGTTTCGCCATGTTAGCCAGGATGGTCTCCATCTCCTGACCTCGTGATCACGCCTGGGATTACAGGCGTGAGCCACCACGCCTGGCCCAAACCATTTCTTAAATCAAGCAGACACTCTGGGCGATCTGAGTGAGCTGAGGGCAGGGATTAAATGGCCCTGCTGAGGAGGAAGTGCCAGGAGGGTACATGAGTCTGCAGGGCAGGGTGGCCCACAGCTGGGTCTTCTGCAAGTGACACACATTTGGATTCTTCTTTTCTAAAATGTAGTCTTTTGTTTTATTTGACTCCCTTTTGTTGTGGCTGGCTGCCCAGCACAACGCTGGAGATGCGATGACAGCAGCCCGCTGGTCTTGTTTCCAAAGTTAACAGAAGTGCCTCCCTCCACACTAAGCCAATGTTTGCTAGTTTGTAGCACAGCGCCTTGGTCTCTGCAATGGCAGTGTTTTCCTACTTTAGTTTATTGTGAATTTTGCCTCAGGCTTTTAAGTAAGGAATGAGTTTGTTCGTGTGTGTGTGTGTGTGTGTGTGTGTGTGTATTAATCTACTGAGAGTTCCAGTGACTTTTCTGCTTCTCATTTTATGAGCATAATGATACCCTTGTATAATCCTGAGCTATCTAAGATAAACACGTTTGATAATGGCTTATTATCCCTTTTTCCTCAGCTTTATTGAGATATAACTGATAAACAAGAATTATATAAATTCAAGGTGTACAGCATGACATCTTGATCACACATTGTGTGATGATTACCAAGGTCAAGCTTAATTCTATGTCCATCACTCCCACATAGTTACCTTTATTTTGTGATGAAACATTTAAAATGGACTCTAGAAGATTTCAGTGGCCGGGCGCGTGGCTCAAGCCTGTAATCCCAGCACTTTGGGAGGCCGAGGCGGGCGGATCACGAGGTCAGGAGATCGAGACCATCCTGGCTAACAGGGTGAAACCCCGTCTCTACTAAAAATACAAAAACTAGCCGGGCGAGGTGGCGGGCGCCTGTAGTCCCAGCTACTCGGGAGGCTGAGGCAGGAGAATGACCAGAACCCGGGAGGCGGAGCTTGCAGTGAGCTGAGATCCGGCCACTGCACTCCAGCCTGGGCGATGAGCGAGACTCCGTCTCAAAAAAAAAAAAAAAAAAAAGAAGATTTCAGTGTTATTACGTTGCATTCTGTGTTACAGTCAACTGTCCTCAAAGGCACACCCCAGGTTTTTCCGGAACTGACTCATCCTGCACAGCGGAAGCTGTATCCTGCCATCAACATGTCCCCACTCCCTGCACCCCCAGCCCCTCGAACCCCCACTCTACTCTCTGCTTTGGTGAACCTGGCTTTTTTAATTCCACATATAAGTGAGGTCTGCAGTATCTGTCTTTCTGTGGCTCGGGTCACTTCACCTAGCATAGTGTCTGCAGGTTCATCCATGTTGCCACAAATGACAGGATCTCCCTCCTTTCTGTGGCTGAGTCGTACTTCATCGCATATACACCACATTTTCTTTATCCACTCATCTGTTGATGGGCACTAAAGTTGCTTCTATATCTTGGCTGTTGTGAAGAGTGCTGCAGTTAGGCATGGCAGTGCAGGTATCTGGAGATCTTGTATAACACACGGAAGTGGATTGCTTCATCATATGGTAGTTCAATTTTAATTTTTGAGTGAACTTCTGTGCTATTTCTCATAATGACTATACATAGTGGCTTAGTTTGTTATGTAGGCTCATAGAATCTCTTACATTATTTTTTTAAATGACATTGATCTACAGTCCTCTCTCTCTCACTGTTGTTCCTGATTTTGGCGTCAGGGTGTCACTTCAGTCACCAGAGGAATCCAGAGGACCTCTGGCTTCTTCTGATCTCTGGAATATTTCAAGTATCACAGAAAAGTCTTTATATTGAAGACTGATGGTATACACCTTTGAAACATCTGAGTCTGCTCTCTGAAGAATGACCTTTTTCAATACCACTTCCATATTTTCCTGGATATCATTGTATTAAATTTTTTGTTTTGTTACTCAGTGTAGGTAATTTATATTTTTTAGAACACAGTACATTTCATTTATATTTCCAAATTTTAGGATAAATATACCCATACTATTTTCTTATACTGAAAAAGGAAAATCTCTGAATCCGTGAGCATACTTCTTTTTCCATCTTTCATGTCTGCTTATTTTTATTAGACTTTATTTTATTTAGATTTTCGTTGATGGACGTCTGTGGATTTTTGTGGACGTTTGAAAAGAGGGGGTCGTGTTTCTTCTTGTTGGAGATTGCTTAGTAAAGTTTCAGAAAGCAATGTGGGTGGTAAATGATCCAGATCCCTGTTGTTTAAGAACAGCCTTCCCGCTGACGCCTGCCACAGCAGAGTCTACGTGCAGAATTTCTTCCCTCCACCTTGGTAGAGGCTGGGCCACCAATGGGTCTCATATTTGCATAACTTTGATCTCTCTTGTGAAGTTTCCTTTCCTTTGTCTGTGTCCCGGCACTATTGCCTCCTTCTTGTACCTTATTCATTTCACCAGACCCCTCCCCCAACACTGTCATCAGCTGTGTTCATATCCCTCGGTCTCATCTTCCTTTAGTTCAAGGAACTTTTATTTCCATATGGGTTTGATGATTTTCTTCCATTGTTAGATTTTCTCCCCACTGTGATCCTGGTGAGGATCACAGACCCTGGGTCTCCTGGGCTCTTCCCACTCAGATCTCAGGCTCTTCTTGGCTGGCCTCTGTCCTTCTGCATTGGGTTTGGGTCAATC